CCACCCGGACTCCCGCGTGGCGGCCGGCTTCGCCATTCTCGCGTTGCCGTGGCCTTGGAATTGCCATGGTGTAATGATGATAAAGCAGCGAGGCGGGAAAAAAAAAGAAGAGATCAACAAGATGACGACCAGCTCGAATGGCAATTCTAAAATGTCGCACTGCGCGGACTGAGGAGAGGAATGTCAGATTTTGAAATTGGCGGCTTGTGCTTTTTTTCTCTTCATCTTATCCCGTATAACGCCAACCGAATTATACCCTCCCTCACCTCGTCATTGCAGTGGTGCTAATGTCAGATTGCATGATAGCGTGCGTTCTGCCCGCCGCTCATCTTTTTCGGTCTTGCATTGTCTCCGGCAGGTCCATCACCAACGAGAGATGTCCACTGAGGACTCGACAGGGGTACATGAGGCAAGAGAAAAAGATTCGCAGACACACACACTCTCTCTCTCTCTCTCACACATCAGACAGCCGCAGCGGGTAAAGGGAAAGGAGATCCATGATCACGGCCGCGACAAAACACCATTTTAGGGGCCCCCTCTCTCGTCATCGACAAACAGGTGGAGTTTCTTCTAGATGGGCTCGGTGATGAAGAAAGAATAAGAAATCATGAAGAAAAGCCATTTCGTGGGAAGTAATGGGGTCGAGGAAAAAGAGACGAAGGAAGTTACGAAACGCAAAAACATCTGCAACAGGCCAGATTCAGGAAGCTGAAAATCACACTACACTGCAGGTATCCGTAAAACCAGCTGGCCTAGGTCTAGCCTTCTCGCTCATCGAAAAGTGCATGTGAAATCCACCCAACTTGCCTTGAGCCGCTACGATGCTCGCCAGCTCGCGGCCCTCCGAGACAGGGTCTCGTTCGTCTTTTTGGGGAAGATCTCTGATTAGGTAGTTTCGGGGATCCGCAAGCCCACACAACATCGCTCCTCTCCACCTCCTTTGGGCAGTGGGAAGCCAGAGAGGGGAGGAGGGGAGGATTGACGATGGATCAAGGTGTCTGTCTCATTGGATTTCATGTTGCAGCTGCGGTGGGCTTCTTCTCTGGTTGATGTTGCGTTGTCTGCTCTTCTCGGAAAGCCTTGATTTCAATACTCACCGGAATCGTGGGATTCTGACCCCGAAAGACCCTCACTCATGCCGGATACGGTTGGGCAATACCGGAAGAAAAGAAAAAGAATGCACATACCGCATCATTGAAGAGAAGGGCCAAAAAGCAAGAATACCACGAAATTCGTATATGCCGCTAAAAGGTCAAAAATCGAGTACTCCGTACTCCGTACAGGCAGTGCAAAAGAATTCTGGGCAGGGCCAGGTTCGAATTAGCAAGGACCACGCTTGTGCGGCAAAGATGGTGTAATTTGACATTTCTTGCAGAACTTGGACGCCACCATCGTCAGTAAACCAAAACCCATTTGCCGGGCCCAGTCGTCGCACATCACTTTCCTTTGCAAGCCGAAGCACGCATTGTGCCACCAATGGGTTTTAGGGCCGAACGGCAGAGAAATAGCGTATTACGGAGGTACCATGTCGCGTCTTATTTGCGTGTGGCTTGGAGACCTTGAAGACCTTGAACTTCTTCCCGCCCGCCTCCCCTTGGCATTAAAGATCTTCCCTTCGGCTGTTCTTCTCGAACGTCTAGCAAAGGAAACCAGCATTTCGAATGCCGCCGAGCCGACCATGAAATGGCGGGATTTAATTGGAACCGAGTCCCTGAACGCAAGGATGACCTTGAACTTCTGGCTTTGAAGCTCTAGCTTGAACTTTACAGCCCAATTTGCCTCCCCCTCGAGACCATTCTGAAATCTAGATAGAGAGGGTCTAGTATTGAAAAACATTCATGGGACTATTTCAAGCACGATTTCCGAAACGAAGACAACGGGAAGCTTGCCTCACGCGGCAAAACGACAAGCTCTGCTCTACCCTTCCCGCCAGGACCGAACGGAACATGGGACATACTTTCTTTGACAAGGGGGGGCCTCCGTCGTCGTGGCTTGGGAGAAGGTCTCCGCCGGAGAGCATGAGCACTGGGCAGCTGGTGGGCCTGGATCTACCTGGACTGTGGACATGAGACGACATGTCACGGGGGTGAGTGTGGGCGCGACGTGAACAACGAAGGGAGCAGTGCTGGGCTTCTCTCCATTGTTCTCGAACATCTTCGTCTCATACCACTGGAGCAAGGGGGACAGGAGGCAGGAGGAAGAGAACGGAGAAGAAAGGAGGTTGTATTATTCTCAGCCGAAGGTCAGGTTCCTCCAGCAAGCCGGAAAGGGGAAGCAAGGCATATCATCAGAAAGGTCTCTTGACAAAGTTGACAAGTTCGGGAAGCAGAGAGCTGCGTCCCGCGGACTAATTCTGAACCCTGACTATAACACCAGTTCGCATCCCTAACAGAGTTCAAATAAAAGCCCACCGCCGAGGTGACTTCCAAACGGAACGGGTTACACCAACGAGTTGCAACAGAGCTGGCCCTGGTGCGTTGCGTACGCCGTAGACATATTGACATTGACATGCTACTGTAGAAGCGAGAACGTCCAGAAGGACGCAAGAAAAAGGCTAAAGGAAACTCTAAAGGAGCCCCAATCTCCCCTTTATGACAAGTTTACACGAGAAGGGCCAGAACGGAAGAGGACGAGGGCGTGAGCAAGCGAGCCTAGTAAGCCCCCCGGAGTCTCGGCAGGACCTCGCCACAAGTTACTGAAACGAGAGGAGGAAAGATTTCCAAAACAACAGGCAAGGCTCATACATAAAAGTGCGCTAGCAAAGAGAGAGAGAGAAAAAAGTTCGGAGTATGGCCGGGCCAAATTCCTCGCCGGCATCCACTGGGATTGTCGCCAACGTAGCAAATCCTCGACCGCCGACTGGTCGACAAGCCCGAAGCGACACTGAAGCGAGAAAGCGACGTGGGTGGTGGTGGTAAACTGGTGGTTTCCTCAAGGGGAAGGGCCTTTAATTTAATTCCCAGGTGTTTGGGGGGGCAAGGGGTGTGTGGTTGCAACCTCTGCCCGTCAACGTTTTGAACTTCGACTTTCCCAAATCCGAACCGGCGCCTCATCCCGGCCTAGTTCTAGCCCACTTCCCGTTCACTCGGTGTCGCGCCACGTTTCTAGGCGCACCCAAAGCCCCAACCAAGCTCTGGGGGGGGAGCTTACCAACATGTTTGCGAGCCACTGAGCTTCCCGGATGACATAGAGCTCATGTCCGTGGTGCCACACCTGGTTTGCGAGGCTAGCTATTTTAGCTTCAGAGCTGGAAGTGTCAGAATGCTAATGTTAATTTTTTTTTTTGAACCAGGCAGGGGAGAAGCGGACGTCTCGGCTCGGACGGTTTGTCGCGGAAGGCAGGGAAATGCCCAGCTTCCGGAGCTGACGGGTATGGCTTCCGCGGGGGGCCTGGGCTGGGCTGGCTAGGCTGTCCGCCTTGTCCTATATCACGAAACGATGATGGCTTCGAACATCATTTTGAGTTTGCACTTGTCCATCATTTCTTGCATTCATCTCGAGCTATCCAGCAGGGCCGCGGCCCTGGCCGCGATCGCCCGCGGAACACCCGCCCCGGCTTCATTCCGGACGTATATGCTGGAGGGTCGTGGCGGATGGTAATATCAGGGTATCATTCGTAATCGCGCCCGCCTCGACCGTCCATGCCGAGAGCAGCTATCTATCTCTCTTCCCCCCCTTGTTTGTTCTCCATGTGTGTGTATGTGCGTAGAGCTTGCAGCTTGGCAGCTTGAAGGAGGGTTCCCCAGTTTCCCTTTCCTGCGTATTTGTAAATACGATGGTCTTGGAGTCGACCAATGAGCATGTCAATCCTGACCCTTTGCCCTTCCAGCTTGGCGAACGCAAATCCTCCTGAAGGATGTCCGCTCGGTGAAGCCAATAGCGATAAGTCCGTGAAACGCCGATCGATGCCAACATCGTGAGTCAGACCTCTAGATTCTTCAAGCCGGCGGTGTGTCATGTACTACGATGAGGAGGTACTTCGGATCTGGTACAATGACCAGCTCCTGTTTCTTCGTTCGTAGCCTCAGTAGCTTCAGCTCATCCTGTTCCAAATAATTAGCCTCGGCCTTCCCTTCAGGGGTGAAGATTCGTTCCGCAGTCGCTCTAGGGACAGACGTGTCACTCCTCTTACCTCGGTATCCAGGTCCAACACCAGGGTGCCCGACGCATTCACCCAGTTCCAAACCTTTGCGGCAAAGTCCTCCAAGCCTTGCGGTTGCTCCTCGCCATTCTGCTGCTGCTGCGCCGCGGCGCCTTCGCCCGAGAAGGAGCCTCCTCCGGATGTCTGTAGGGTTGCTGCGTTGAAGGACGACAGCTGACCGCTCGTTCGTAGTATCGCGCCGGTGACTCGGTCGAGGATGACGGTGGCTTTGACGCCGGGTTTATTCGAGAGGCGCTTGAGGGTCTCATCCAGCGCGTCTGGTCCGTTGGTCTGCGAGGGGACACATTCTTTGTTTAGCTATGACGCCATTGCTGAAGAGCAGGAGGGGTCGAGGTCGCTCACGGGTGTTGCGTCGGCCATATTTGATAGACTGAGAGTTGAACAAACAAGAGACAGGTACGGGCGACGCTGCTTCTGAGAGCGTCTCAAATTGTACCGAAACTTCGCAAAAGAATCGAGTGTCGTTGAATCGTGGAAACAAATGAATGCCCCCGAAAGCTGGGTTGGGTCTCGTCTGTAAGGCTGGGTTGGAAGCTAAAGTGCCCAATAATTGGAGCTAGGATTCACCGGGTAACAGCGTCTCAACGTTGTGGTGGGGCTGAGTTGCGAGGGGACCAGGAGCTTGACCAGATTCTGCCGCACCTGACCGCCGAAAAGTTCTGGCTCCAGACTTTGCAGGGGTCCTAACCTTCAATGAGCCAGCCATCTCATGTGAAAAGTGACGAAGACTTCATTGCTCAACACTCGGAAAATTCTACAAAAATTCAGTCTCACAGCCATAAGATTCACAAATAAATCAATTCAAATTTAGGAGAGAATATCCGATAAATAAGACATCATGGGTTCTAGCACGAGAAAGAAGAAGGAAAAGGCCAAGGACTTTGCGGTATGAACACCTCAGTGACGCTGCCTCTCATGAGACCTCGCATCAATACTGATATGCTCCTACAGAAACCAAAGTTCAAGGTCGGAAAGGCCAAGGCCAAGCCTACCAACTTCACAGACACAAGTTTCAAGGCAAAGTCCATTGCTATGGGCCACCAGAAGCTCTCAACTGAAGCCCCCGATAACGCTACTCAATTCAAGCACAACCTCTCATTAGCCTCTACATCAAGAGCAGATAAGCAGCGCAAAGAATCTCTGGCCCATTTGACAAGCCAGGTGCTGGCAGAAAATAACCCCGTCGGAACCGCAACGGTGCTAAGCAAACTCCTGCCCCTGATCTCAGACGCCTCAGGTCCTGTTCGCAGCCAGCTGCTGAAGCTGTTCCGGGCCCTGCCCGAGGCAGAGGTCAAGCATCACGCCGAAAAGTGCATCATGTACACCCGCGCAGGAATGACTCACCTCTCTGCCGACATCAGCAACGACTCACTATCCGTTCTCGAGTGGCTCCTGGATGTCGCGGAAGACGAGACCGTCAGCTGCCCCGGCGGTTGGGTCAAGACTCTCAACAGCTTCTGCGCGCTGATGGGCTGGACCGTGAAGACGAGCTCGGGGTGGTCGACCGCCCCCAAGACGGGTCTCCGCACAAAGGACGCACAGTCGCACGCGAGGCAGGTCGCCGTGCTGGCTAGGTTTATGCAGGCCGGACTCAAGCCCGAGGTTGCGGGGCCGAGTAACCCCAACGCCTATGCGGACAATATGTACCGGGTGCCCCGGACGCCGAATCCTTTTGCGTACCTCAACCTTTTTGGGACCCGCCGGGACGAGGAAGCGGAGATGTATAATGACCGCGAGTCACGGCAACGGGTTTTCCACAGGAGGTTCATGGATTCGTTCCAGCGAGGCGTGGAGCAGTCTAAGAAAGAGGGCGGTACCATCGGTCGTTCGGCCGTTGCATTGGATCAGGCCTTGACCGAAGGTATGAGCGGGTACGAGGCGACGTCTGCTGTTGAGCCTCAAGATCTCCTTGATCTGTGGTGAAGTATGTGGCCCCGCAAATCTACAATGATCTATAATCTTTGGCGGTCTCAGGAACCTGCCCGACAAGATTTCCTGCTCGTATCAACCTCTCCCCCGCAGTATTGGAGGTTCCAGTCACTGCCGCTGAAGGTCAGTGCCCGAGCAGCTACGTCCTGCCTGTTGGGGCAAAGTAAAGAGCCGGAGGGTTTCTTGCGAGATAGAATGACTCTAGGCTTTATCGCGATAGACGTTTGGTTTATTCGAATTGGTGGACGGGGCGAAGTGCTGTTCAAGCCGCTCAATAAGTCCCAAGAGCGTCGCCATCCGCTACCTCATCATGTAGCATTCATAGATGGATATATTAATGATACCCATCTCACCTCGGTGAGATTCCTGTTGTCTAAAAAATGTAGTTACTCCGAAATCAGAGACGAAGAGACATCTCTCAGGTGAATGACTGTCCTTTGGTGTCATGTGGTGAGCCGATTAGATTGGAAGCTCCTCAATTGTCTTCTTTTAGCTTTACTCTTGACACGAAGCTGCCATCAGGCAGCATCTTACATGCCTGATTTGTTTGTTAGATGCTCCATAGGGAAGTATTCAAGTTGACTCGACTTCAGACACAAAGGTGAGATACGCAGAATACTTTGTATCTTCAAGGCCTTTCAGCTGCCTTTGTCTTTACGGGATCACTCGTATATTATTGAACCTCTACCCGGGTTACTTCTCTCTCTTTTCATGTTCTGCCTTGCTGTAGGTAGCTAACTCGAAGGACCTCGTCGAGACAAGAAGTTAGTGTCATGTCAAATGAGCGCTGTCAAAGGAGAGGTCTTCTCTTCGTCTGACCTTTCCTCTCGTCCGAAGCTTCGATGAGATTTCGTCCAGTGTTTTCAAGTTCCGATGGAGCCTTCAGAAATGAGGCAGAAGGTCAAGTCCTGAATGGTGCTCTCCCACCCGATTGTAATGCCTCACGAGGCAGTCACACTTCAACACTCATGCCCGCTTAGTCGTCCTACCCACCTACTTCGTTCATTGTGTCTTCCTTCCTCTAAGGGCGGTGCCTGCCCTCGGCCTCCAGCCCTTTTGCCCTCTACAGACCGACCTACCGTCTTCCAGCCTTCCGAAGTCCTCTCATCACGGATGTTTATATCTCATCTGCTGCTGCCCAACTTCTTCCTCTTCCCTCTTTTCCTCCGCACCCGTCACAGATCGTTGAGAAAGGATCACCAGCAGGAGATCAGTTTCTGACTTCATTCTTCGTCTGAGAGGTAAGTACTTTCCACATTGTTTGATCAGCGAATTCATCATTCCCATTTATTTTTCCATCAATCCCCGTCATCATTCATCGACGGATTCTGCCGTCTTCAACTTCGATCGTGGAACGTGTTGACGAGCGCCAAATTCTTGGCTTCAATCCCCCAAGTTGTTTTCACTTTGCAATCAACTTCGCATTGATATTCCCAGCCCTTGATCCCGACCTGCTTGCTCCATCGGAGACTGCAGTTTCTCGAGAACATCCCTTCTTCAAGGCTCCTGCCAGTTTTCACCTCGGAAATTGACAGTCTTCCGGTCTTTCCTTCCTCGTTGTAACCACACCAACCGATTTCGGGTTTCAGTGGCTTCATTGTTTTCTCTCACACAAATCTGGCTTCCTTCTTCTTTCTTTGCGCTGTACTAACTCATCGACAAACTATCCAGCACCAAGGCTCTCGCCCCGTGTAGTCTTCCTTGCAATTTTCGCAGCATCCTTCGATCAAGCAAACCAAGGTAAGTACCACGAGCCGCATTACCCCGACTGACCAAAAAACCAAAACCTAATCAACATCAGCAGACTTCCTCCCGCCGAGATGTCTGCCTTCGACACTGCCGATATGCAGTCGGCTCTTTCTGCCGATGGCAAGAAGGCCCCTGCCGCTGCTGTCAACAGCGATGGTACAAAATGGGCTGAGCCTCTGCCCTACAACTACGACGAGCTTGCCCAGCAGGGTCCCGAGGTTGCGACTGAGTGGGCTGGCAACGGTGCCGTTTACGAGTGGGATGAGGAGTTTGGCGACGTTGGCCCGAAGTTCCCCGACCTCGAGCTCGCTCTCTTCGGTGATTCCAACTCCCGCATTGCCTCTAACTCTGGCCTCGACTTCTCTGTGTAGGTTCCCTTTTGGCAATGAATTGAATAAGACTGATAGCTTGTAGCATCTCTTCTGTCGAGGTTACCCAGGAGGGTGAGATCCGTGTTGAGCCTGTCCACTCCTACAAGGACGCCGGCTTGCACCCTGTCATGCTGGAGAACATCGATCTTTGCGGCTATGAGGCCCCGACCCCCATCCAGAAGTACACCCTTCCCGCCATTCACAAGGGTCTCGATGTTGTGGCTATTGCTCAGACCGGCAAGTTTCCCTCTGTTTGCATCTTGTTTACTATTTCTAATGTATTCAAAAAGGTTCCGGCAAGACCGCGGCTTACCTTATTCCCATCTTGAACAAGCTCATGGGCAAGGCCAAGAAGCTCGCTGCACCTCGCCCCAACCCTGCCGAGATTGCTCTTGGACAGCAGTGGGTTCGTGCAGAGCCTCTGGTGGTCATCGTTTGTCCAACTCGCGAGCTGGCTATTCAAATCTTCAATGAGGCCCGCAAGTTCTGTTACAGAACTATGCTTCGCCCGTGTGTCGCCTATGGCGGTGGTCCCTTGAGGGACCAGATTCAGCAGCTTGGAAAGGGCTGTGATGTTCTCATCGCTTCCCCTGGTCGTCTTGTCGACTTCATCCAGCGGCCAGACACTCTCTCGCTCAAGCGCTTGAGATACATGGTCTTCGACGAGGCCGATGAGATGCTGCATGATGACTGGCGCGAGGAGATGGATGTCATCATGACTGGCGGTGGTAAGCTCTATCCGTTCACTGTTCTTGTCTCGAACCTCCACTAAACCTTTTTTCAAGAACAGCAGGAGGGAAATATCAAGTACATGCTGTTCTCGGCTACCTTTCCCAAGCCGCTCCGCGATCTCGCGAAGGAGAACCTGTCTTCCTCCAGCGTCCGCATCAATATCGGTCGCATTGGAAGCACCCACACCAACATTCTCCAGCGCGTCTTCAAGTTCGACGCCTTCGAGAAGAAGGAGGCTCTCAAGGATCAGATCAACTCTCTTCCTGCCTGCCGCACCATCATCTTCGTCAACCACAAGCGTACTTGCGATGACTTGGACGACTTCTTATTCAACCTTGGCTTCCCTTGCACCTCGATGCATGCTGATCGCACTCAGCTTGAGCGTGAGGCTTCTATGCGCGCTTTCCGTGCTGGAAAGTCTCCCATCCTTATTGCCACTGGCATCAGCGCTCGCGGCATTGACGTGAAGAATGTCAACCACGTCATCAACTTCGACCTGCCTAGCTTGGATCATGGTGGCATTGAGGAGTACACCCATAGAATCGGTAAGCAGAGCTCTTTCTTGCATGTTTTCATCTGCGCATCAAAAATGGCATTGCGCCTTTTCTCTCGCGATTTTGAACCGTTACTAACGTAACCAATTATCAGGCCGCACCGGTCGTATGGGTCAGCGTGGCATTGCGACTTCTTTCTACACTGACCGCGATGAGCCCATGGCTAGCGTTCTCGTTCGCACCCTCTTGGAGACTAAGCAGGAGATTCCTGACTTCCTCGAGGCTTTCAAGCCCACTGGCAAGGGCCTTGAGAACCTCAAGTTCGAGACTGAGAGCGACTTCGACCCCGAGGAGGCCGGCATTGCTCACCTTGGCGGCGAGGGCGGCGGCTGGTCCAACGAAGGCGGCGGTGGCGATGCTGGAGGCGATGGCTCCTGGGGCGCTACTGGAGGCGATTCTGGCTGGGGTGGTGGCGGCGATTCTGCTGGTAACGATACCAAGCAGGAGGAGCCCGAGGCCGCTCCCGCTTGGGGCGCTTCTTCTGGCGGTGGTGGTTCTTGGTAATTAGATAATACCTTCTGCATTTCCAGAGGCAAAGTTTGGGTTCTTTGCGGGGTATGTCGACCATAAGATGGGATAGATGAGAGAAGTTGGGGCGGTCTATTCGGAATGCTTTGATGGAGTTTGCCAGAATGGAATAGGATCGCAGCTAATGAATCATTTTATCTCTTGATACCAAATCTCGCGCCTCCAGACTGTTAATGCGCTTGGGAGTCCAACTTTGAAGTGTCCGATGCTCCAGAATCAAGTCCTTGGCTGACAACATCCATCAGGAGAAAGAAAGCAAGACAGCCGGCCTTGTTTATATGGTTGACTGATTCTGTGACACATGTATAGCAGATATTTAGGCTTACAGAGTGATAAAAATAGATAGGAATGAAGCTGGGCATGAATGAAAACTTCATGATACTTTTGATTAAGTTGATATATATGCCTCTAAACTCTCACTTTTCCCTCTCCCATTATTCCTATGATGCAAGATCTAGCAAGCCAGAGCAGTCAAGCTCCTCCATTTTCATTTCTATATTCGTAAGGGCTATTAAAGGTGAACTAGGCATTCTTCATTATGTCGAGAATGCCCCTGAATTTGCCTGCCAGACTCTGCGCATACCCCACGCCAACAACACCTCTAGTAAACCGCCAGCTCCGCTCCTGATCCGGAACGGGATATTTCACGGGCGGGGGGATGGCGGTGCGAACGCCCAACCAGCCAAAGCGGTCGACGCAGATGCTCTTGATATTACAGAGACCCCTGAGTCCTTCCTCGCCGGCGAACCGGCCGTAGCCTGAGCCGCCGACGCCACCAAAGGGGAGCTGGACGGCGTAGGTTGCGCCAAAGTCGTTGACGGCTACCATGCCGGTGTTGAGGCAATCGACGACGGCGCGGAGAACGGGGTCGTTGTCGCCGCCGAAGATGGAAGCGCCGAGTCCGAATTCTGGCGCGTTGGCTACTGATAGAACTGAGTCTGCGTCGGGGCCAGGAGCGCGCATGATGGTCATGACGGGGCCGAAGCACTCTTCGTTGGCGATTTCCATTTCAGGGGTAACATCGACAAGGAGAGTCGGGACGAAGTAGTGGCCCTTGGGGTGCTCTGGGTGGATGTATCGTTTGCCACCTGCCAGCAAGCGGGCTCCTTGCTTGACTGCCTTCTCAACGAGGGATTCGAGGCGGTCAAACGCGGCATCTGAGATCATGGCGCCCACGTCTGCAGTCGGTCCCAGGCGAAGACCTTGGACCTTTGGCGCTAGAGTTACCACGAGCTGGTCGTAAAGCTTCGGCGTAGCAATGATGCGCTCAATTCCAATGCAATTTTGTCCAGAAGCTTGGAACGTACCTCGCATGAGGATTTCAACGATGCGCTTCAAATCCCTGGCGGCGGAGTCGAGGACGATGGAGGGATCCTTGCCACCCAATTCCGCGATCAGAGGTGTGAGAGACTTGGCAGCTGAGGCAGCGACCTTCAGGCATACAGGGCGCGAGCCAATGAAAGTCAAGTGGGAGATCTTGGGGTGAGAGGTGATGTGGTTCGCCGTCTGCGGCCAACACACAACCGTCTGAATTAGGGCGGGATCGTAGCCGTGGGCGATGAGAGCCCCTCTCGCGATACTCGTAAAGTATTGGGAACTCCAAGCCGTCTGTTCAGAGACCTTGACTAGCACACCATTACCGGCGAAGATACTCGAAATGATGGGTCCGATAAGGTTGTGGAACGGGTAATTCCAACTGACCAGGGCACCGACAACACCGAGTGGTTCGTACCGCACTTCGTTTCGTTTGTATGCCATGAGGAGATTCGTAGGTCGCGGGCTGGGGCGGAGGGCCTTCTCGCCATGGTTCAGTGTCCATGTGAGCTTTTCGACGGTCACGAGAATCTCGCCAAGCTGTGCGTCTACCATCGTCTTGCCCGAGTCGAGACAGGCGGCGCGGCAGATGGCTTCCTGGTTATCGAGGACGTGTTGTAGCATCGTTCGAAGCACTTGACGGCGCTCGCGAAAGCTAGTATTCTTCCATTTCGCCTGCGCCGCATGGGCAGCGTCGACGGCGCGGTCAATGGAGGCCGGGGTGGAGGGGTTGATGAAGCCGAGAAACTGCCCCGTGGCCGGGGCGTAGCATTGGACTGCGGTTGTGCCGGAGATCTGAATTGTACAGCCCGGTCAGCCATTGATTCAAGCTTGAGAAAGGGGTGGAGGTCTAGCCAACGTAGTATGCCATACCTTCACACTCGTCTCTTCGACAATGGAGTGCTCGTCGGGAATCTTCGGCGGCGGGACGGTGTATGAGACGGCCTTGTCCTCGTTACAGCTCTGTGCCAGCCGCAAGATAAAAATACTGATCACAATAGCAGCCGCAGCCAGAACATACTGAGGAATTCCGGCCCTATTGCGAGCATGTCGAGTTAGTCTTTAGGTCTTGAGCACAACTGTGATGCCACTTTCGGGTGGCAGTAGCTTACGGAACGGCGTCGAGATACGCGTTGAACTTGTCGGCGACCTCATCCAAGAGCTGTGCGTCCATGATGAATTTTGCCCGGGTCAAATTGTGTATCTCCAGAGTGCTTGTTATGGAGAGATTCTGCAATTGCCGTCGTGGGCACTGAGACCATGAAGATGCTATGTTCAAACACCGAGCCCCCTCCAAGCGGATCCATCTATGAGGTCGCGGTGCATCGGATGTTCTTGGTCAAAAATCAGCAGAGCTCGGGGGAGCTTGCCCCGGTCTGGTTCCTTGCCAGGGCCCTCGCTGTGGTGGGACTTGCATCTGGCATTGGGCAGGGGCTAGCTGCAGGGGTGACAGGCACAGCAGGTAGGGCGCAACACATTCGGTACCTGAACTTTCCCAGTGTCCCAGTCAAGTTCCTACTGGACTCATGGAGAACAGTGTTAGGCCCCGAGCAAGGCGTGTTGCCTGAGAACTTTACTGTCTAAAAAAATATTATCACCGCAATCTTCTCGTCTTCATCCTGTCAATTGATTAAGGGGAATCACAAGTTTAACACTCAAGGAACTCAAAGTTGAAATGGGTCTTGTTAACAATTCAAATACCACTTGGCTTCTGTCTCTGTGGCTCATCTTCAAGCTTTCCCCCTATTATGTTTTGTTTTTTTTGCATCTTTTCCCTTCTCATGCTCGCGCGTATGTACAAAAAGCGTCAACAGCGCGAGAGCTGTGCGCCGTCACATAGTTTGGTCCGCCCAGACTCACAACGCCCGAGGGTCTGACGAAGAACATCCAGCACCCTCAGCATGGACTGGTTCCTGGCGCCCCCCTCTCAATTCTAGGATGCACACCAAAGCTTGCACAAAAATGCCTTCCGAGACTTCCGTTCCTTTGTCCTCCTAAAACGCCGTCGCAGTAGGAATCCCTATACGATAAAACTACCAACATAACATAATGAATTCGGAACCAAACAGAAAAAGTAGTGACGGAGCGTGTGTGTGAGTGTGTGTATGTGGGTGACAAAGCATCGAGTCGCTGGCGTGCGAGAGGTGGAATGTCGTAGATCGCTCATGCAGATCGTGATGCATCGGGGGATATCAACAAAACAGCAAAAAGAAACAATACGGCCCCGTCGGGAGGGCCAGGCCGGATATAGTACAAGGAGAATTCGATTCGATTCGGTCGAGGGTCTGGAGCAGCCGCTACATGTTGGCGCTCTTCGTCAATGACAGACCCCGTAGTCGTCTGGGATGGAAACGGTCGCTGTAAGACTGGCTAGACTCTATCCGAGAGAGGCGAGCGGCCGAGGTAAAGTCGTTACTGGCCTCGAAACTGGCCCGTGTGCGGTCCATCGAAGCTCGCATTCGATCGTAGGATGGTCGGGCTCGATCGTAGGAGGGACGGGGTCGTTCGAAGGAGGATCGCATCGGAGGGGTCATGTCGAGGGACTGCGTTTGCATCATGTCCATCGATTGCCGGTGGCCCGTGTAGTTGGTGCCATCGCTGCCATTTTGGCTGCGCGGGTTGTGCGTCGTGTGTGTTGCAACTGAAGGTGGATAGATTGGCCTTCTGTCCTCATCCACACTGGCATAGTGTATATGCTTACCCTTGCGCGAGCTGACCGACGAGTTCGACGGGGTCTTACTCGCCGTCTGCTCCCCAATAACCGTCGCGTCGTCGCCCTGCGTGAGACGAGAAAATTTTCCTTGCCGCTCTTGCTCGCGGATGATGTCGACGTCGTATGGGAAGTAGACCTTCTGAATCGCCTTGATCGCGAACCGGGGAAAGAGACTGATGACCGGTACAATGAAGAAGACCGCCCAAAAAGATGCTTGGGCGTATACCTGCGGGGCGGCTTGATAGAAAAACACTGACCCTTCGGTGGCTGTGTAGATGCCGGTAACGATGAAAATCATGAGGTCGCTGAGGACTACAATCAAGATCATGATCCAGTCCCATCGGTACGTGTTGATGAGGATATACGCGTTGATGACGAAGACAGCGGGGTGTGCAATGTAAGCGCCAAGTCGCGTTCGGTCTTCGATATTCAGACCGTTCTTCGTCACGAAGCTTGTGCTGCTCACTGCCAAGTACGGAATGTAGAAGACCATGACCGATTGGTAGACGCCGTCAAGCATGTAAAGCCTGGAACCTAGTTAGCATCGCATCAGGGCCACTGCTGTGACCATACGTACCAGAATTTGGTCTGTGTCCATTCCAACCGTTCGATACCACGGCGATAAAGCTGCGGTACAGCCAGAGAGACCTTGTCCGAAACATCCTGGTCAAGAACACCCATAACGACGACCGGAACCGAAGTGAAAAGGAGGTTGAACAACAAGATGTACGTGTACTCGTAGATATACGTGACGTCGAAGTCGCAGTAGATTTGGTACCAGAAGATACCAAACACCCATACCACGTTTTTGTAGAAGAAGTTGGCCACCGTCTCGGCGAGACGACGGTACGACCACCGACCGTGTACGAGCACTAGCCGCGATAGGAAGCGGAACTGGGCGATCGCGTAGTCTGAAGACATGACCGCCTGTCGACCCTCCTCACCAGCGATACCAACGCCGACATCTGCCTCTTGAATCATGGCAACATCGTTGGCGCCGTCTCCAATGGCGAGAGTCATGACATCCAGACCGTTCTTAACCATGTTGACTACGGCGGCCTTCTGAGCAGGACTGACTCGGCAGCAAAGAACCGACTTGCACTGCTTGCAGAGAAGCAGGAACTTCTGCTTCAATGCATCGTGAAGAACCCACTTCAGAGAGAAACCGTCAATAACCAGGCCGTGGGTTGGGCCAGGTGGTTCGTGGTTCTTCCTGGCCTTGGCCAAGTCGTCGTTGTCGCCCTTCAGACCGAAGTCCTGTAAGTACTTGTCGAGCTCCTGCTCCAAGATATTGAGGAAATGTTCGTCGGGTGTCTCGCCAGTTTCGTCTTCGTCAACTTTCAGGTGGATAAGCTCCATGTCGTTGTTCAGAAGGTTGCAGGAGAAACCAATGTTGATAGCAGTCTCGACCTTGTCGCCAGTGAGAACCCAAAGCTTTATGCCAGCGTCGCCCAGCAGAGCGATGGTATCGGGAACGCCATCTTGCAGTCTGTCTTCAATAGCGGTGCCTCCAAGTAGTGTCAATTCGCGCTCAAGGTGATCTGCGACCTCCTCCATCTTCTCTTCTCGATGTTCAAGAGCCGCTGCAGCCGCGTCGTACTCCTTGCGCCAGGTGGCGTATTGGTCCTCGGTGAGTTCTCGCTGCGCAATACAGAGCGTTCTCAAACCTTCGCGGGCAAACATTTCCAAGTGCTCGGCCGTGAGTTTGCGAAGCTCTTGCTGCTCGCCCCGCTTCAGACGCGAATAGATGATACTGTCCGCTCCCTTGCAGATGAGCAGAATGCGGTTGTCAGGCATCCGGACAATTGCGCTCATACGCTTCCTGCTCGAGTTGAACTCGATTGTGTTCAATATCGGGTAGAATCGATCCTCGCCCATGACATTCAGGTTGATGCCCTCCTGAGAGCTGCCAAGCACCGTGAAACCCATGTCGCGGGCTGTTGCGACAAGAGCCGCCTCGTCAGGTGACTGTGCCTTGAACAGCATCTTTGGCGGTGATCCGGGTATCTTCTCGGCGATGACAGTATGGCACAGGGCGAGGCAGAGCATGAAGTGCTCATTCGCCACTTGCTGTTCATCACCAGAGTCACCCGCCAAGTCAGAGACATAGTCAGGCGCAATGAAAGTCAGGTCGGAGTCATGCAAGTAAGGGTTGTCGTGAATATTTCTGAGACCGTCGATCGCACGTATTTTGGCATCCGCAATTTCGGCTCTGGCTTCGGCTGCCTCCTTCTCCACGTCGACACCGAGGCGTTTCTGCATGCCAGCTTGAGCTTCCGTGTATGCTTCGCCATACGGCTGTCCGTTGATAGTTGCTTTCTTGAACTCCATGACGTTTTGTGTCAATGTACCGGTCTTGTCGGAGAAGATATACTCGATCTGGCCAAGGTCGTCGGAAATATTCCACGACTTTGGGATACAGGGTTGGTCCAGGGGTTCGTAGTACATCTCAACGTCGCTGTAGATGAAAATTGCCTGCAATAGGCGGACAATTTCAAGAGTGATGTAGAGAGCAATGGGAATCAAGTTCTGGAACACAATAAGAGCGGCCCAGAATGTGATGAAGCCGGACATGGGTGCCGTTCCTCCGATGGATCCAAAGTCAAAGAAGTGTAAAGATGCGTCCGTTTTCGCCCATGCGACACCGTTGACGATGCCGGTCAAGACGCAGAGAATAAAGAGAATGCCGAAGTTGTAAATGACATTGAAGTTCATTTCCCTGGCGATTCTGGGACGCTTACTGGGCGTGATACCAGAGTTGATCATGATTTTGGTGTCATGTCCCGTGAAGGCGACGACTCCAAGGGCCCATTCCGTGTTTCTCAGATTGCAACCACGGAGAAGCAAGTTGTCGATCGTAATGGGCTCAGTCATCAAGTCGGGCTCGGATGAGTCTTCGAAGGTTTGGTGCCAACGAATGGCACCGTTATACTTGTAGAGATTGGGCTGCGGCGGTTCACTCTCGATCCAGAACTGGGCTCGTTCGCAGTCCCTGGCATGCTTCAGCGACCTACCACACCTCAGCGCTTGTCGGACCTTCAAGTTCGTCTCGCCGTCCAAGTTTTTGGTTTCGACGTAGCAGGCGCCATCTGGGTCAGACGTGGACAGTACGATAATGTCAGCTGGCAGTTCGTCGTCGTTGTAAATTCGCACAAAGTCGCCAACTCTCAAGTCTTTCCAGTGATCCTTGTGAAATCGGGCGTCACCTTTGACCGGTACACTGCGGTTCACCACGTCTCCCTTTCGTTGCATCAACTCTCTGACGCGCTTGTGGTCATCTTCTTGAGGGACCTCGAGAGTCTGACGGGGAAGTGGAGAGGGAACCGGTGTCATCTGGATATCCTCTCGGGCGGATACAAACGAGTCTCGATTGGATCGGGGTTGGTTGAAAGAGTCTCGGGGGATGTGGGTCTCAACCGAGGGTCGCGGCGCATCGGCGTACGCTTCTGGGTTCTTGCGCACTGCCAATTCCTTCCTAGCCTTCTTGGACCAAATGCTTTCGATTGTGTGCCAGACAAGGCCAAAGAAGCGACTGTTGGCCTTCTTAATGCGCCTCCACAGAGAAATGTTATCATCCTCGACGTTGACGTTGTTCCAGCCGCGCAGGCGATGAACGGGGGCGTTGTTGAGCTCGATATCCAGAATGGTGCGACGGTAATCTTCGATGGCATCCTTGATTGCCGTGACAGTGACGATGAAAATCAAAGGTACCGAGTTGAGGCCTGGATTCGTACCGCCGAAAATGGGGAAGAACTACAAAGGGTTGGAACTAGTTCAAACATGCATTGGGGAAGACCTCGAGTCCGACTTACCACCAGGATGACGAGGAAAAGGAAAAAGATGTTTGCGATATTCTGGAATTGAAACCACAAATTCTTGGGAACGAAACTTATGGGCGTATACTTTGCTGTGCGGATCTTGTTTCTCGGAAAATGCTGACTTGGGTGACCTTCCTCGTCTAGAAGCTCCGCGGGCAAAGGGAGGTTGAAGAACATTTTCCTGCCACCATTTCCTTCCTCGGGATCAGTGGCCGTGTTGGCCTCGGTTTGTAAAGATTCGGTGCCGCCGGAGTTACGACTCTTCTCGCTGTTATGTTTCTTGTGGCCGGCGCGGTGCATGATGGAAAGCCTCTTCTTGTTGCTGCTCTTTATCGTCATCTTGCGGGTAGCCCATCTCGTCCTCAAAGTTGTCAGCGCGGGACCCTCGGGATCGTTGGCGGGATCGTTAGCAGGATCAAGGGCCGCGTTGGGCCCTTCTTCGTTCGTGGGCGCCATCGTGGTCTCTTGGTGTACGGGCGAGCAGCCCGATCAACCCGAGTGGTCCTCCAGTATGGCCACGTCCGGCCGCAACGTTGGTCCCAGACGGGGAAGGGAGACGATGTGTTGCGTGGTATTCCAGGACGGGGTAATCGATTGCGGAAGTCGAAATAAAGCAGGTTGTTGTCGAATGAATTGTGAGAGGGAAAACGAGCGACCGTGAGTGTTCAGCGTAACGTCGTCGTCGTTGTCGTCGATGTCCGTCCGAGGTTGTGTTGTGGTGGTGTTGGTTGGAACTTGGGCGAGATGTGTGGTTCGTGCGAGGGAGTAGCAGAATTGAAAGGGAGTGGTCGGAAGGGGGCAAGAATTATTTTGGCTGAAGGGGCCGGGAGGCGCTGTCGCGGTGTTTGATGACAGCGTTGTCCATAAACCCGCTGTGAAGGGGGGGGAGTGCAGAGTGCAGAGTGCAGCTGGGTACCGGGGCAGACGGGGGTGGGTAGGTAGGCGAAGGTCAGGTACCTCGAGTCACCCCCTTCAGTGTGTCTGGGAGCAGCGGTGCGCGCAGTCAGTTTGTGCAGAATGCAGGCGGCATAGCAGTAGATGAATTGGCCAGTGCTTCGGCCATTTAGACGGCCAGGACGGGTTTGTGAGGCACGGGGGGAGGACTCGGAGAAGACTGAGAGGGGGGAGAGGAGAGACAAGACATGGAAGTTATCCACGCTTGGATAAAGTACCTCACCTCACCTTATGGATCTCACTCCCACTCTCACTCTGTGCAATGGCGCAGGGGTAAGCAAGTGTACGTATCGGAGGTACTTGGAGGGAGCACGGCGGTGGAAGTATCTCGCCCTACCGTTAGAGTGGGGGACTGTAGCAGAAACAGCCTAACTAGGTACGGACCTTGACCAGACCAGAACAGGTACTGTCTGTAATTGCCCTTGTATCGTGCTTTTTCTTCTGACTCCCGTCCCCCTAAAAGGCTTGATGGCTCAGATATGTGCAAAGGGTCGAGTTCCACGTTTCTAACAAATTTCTCAGGGCACGCTGCACCACTGGAGATAAGTCGGAGGGAGAAAGGCACAGAGAGGGATGCACGAATAAGGTAGAAGCGGAAAGGCGGAGAAAGGAAGGGAGACAGACGGAGTTGGACGCTCGAGAACAGTGGGAAAGGGCGGAAAGGAAGGAGAGCAAGACGGAGGAGAGAGAGGAATCGGAGAGAGGAGCAATCCATCCAACCAAGCAAGCAGCAACCAAGCAACCGAACGCGCGAGCCCGTGGTGCGGGTGCCGTGTCGGCCGGGCCAGTTCCCAGCTTCCATTTCCCCCCCACCTCACTCACACCTCTTTTTCTTTCCCTTCCCGCAGATGGAGTGTTGTAGATGCACCTCAGAATGGCGGCACCACCACCACCACCACCACCACAACCAACAAGCGACAAGCAAGAATGCACCACCATGATCACGACTCCTCCGTAAAACCCAGACGGCCCCGTCGGGTCCCTCAGGTACCTCTCTGCCCGTCAAGTGGTCACTCGCGTCACCGATGCACACCACCCTCCCACAGAGTTGTGGCGCCGCAGGTACATGGCAGAGTACCAAGGGATGGGCGCGTCAAGTGGCCGCCCGCCCGGATGGCCCGGGGACTAGCAAGACTCCACGTCCGTCTCTGCTCCAGTGCTCCTGCAGACGACTGGGCTAACGTTGGTAGCAGAAACTGCTCAAGGGAAGCGTAAGGCGACAATTACCATCTTTTCGTGCTTAAGCAAGCACGGCGAAGAGGACGATTCCCGCTTAGTCTGCCTTGTACGACAGATCGAAGCCGCGCTTCTGTCTCTGTAAGCATGGCCATGTACTCTGTACAGTCGATGAGCAATCATGAACCACCTACCTATGGATACCCTACAGGCTACAAATACAAGTCGCGACCTTGACGCTAGTCGGCTGCTCGGCGGACGATGGAGGTTGATGGGTGCGTGCAATTGGTAATCACCCGCCAGCCTGGCCAATGGCCCAGTCCTGTCCTGCCTCCCTCACTCTCGCTACCACGGCGACAGGAGATTCGAGAAGACTTGAAGCATGGAACCCGCCATGGACATTGACACTCTGTCCATGTTTTCTCCTATGCACTAGCATCGGCTCTAGAGATTTCCATTTCCCATGCAACCTACCCTGCAATGTGCCCACTGAGTGCCAGGCCTCGCCCTCTTTTTCCCACCCCGTTTTTGATATAATACCCGACCGCTATCAGGTATCCGTACAAAGTATCCGTACGTATACAAGGCCATGTGGACAACTTGACAACCACCGCAGTACACCGTACCTTACCTCGTAACTTCGTCGTAAGACTCCTCCTTGATGTGCCTGCAACTGCGAGACGTGCATGAGAAAGAGAAAAAGGAAAGCAAGCAGTCGTCCGGGACCTCTTCACCCCATGCTTCCATAGTCGTCGTCCAAACACAGCCAGCCAGTGAGGAGATGAGAACTGCAGTGTCTACATACCTATCTGACCTCACTCGTCACGACACATTGCCCCCCATTTTACGTCTACCTAGGTACGCATAGCTTAATCAATTGGCCATTTGATGATGGTTGGGGTTCATGACCAACAAGCACGAACACAACGAGACCAGGCCAAACGGGCACAGAACGGGCCGTGGCCATAGGGCCTTGGGCTTGTAATGCAACGCCCTACTGTCAAACCAGTGAGCCCAGGTCTGGTAATTCCCGTCTGGTAATTCTAGTTCCTTCGTCACGATGATACCTAAGCCCTGGGCGCGGACCAGAAGTACCCGTCCGTGTCAATATGCTGGAGAGGAACATGGTTCATGTTGATCATGTCAGCAGCTTCCAGCTAGCGGGTTCCTAAGGTAAGGTAGGTACCTATACGGAATACGTACCTCGCCATTTCTGCCTCCCGCCAGCCACAGCTCCTTCCTGTCTAATCACGCCGAATGAAGATGCTTACCTGATCGGCGATATCTGGTAAAGAACGACAACGAATGCCATGGTCATCCTTGTGCTCGCCCTTCCCAGCGAACGGTTGTCTCTTCTTTTTCTGTCTGCAATGCTGCATCAACAACCTAATGAAGCAAAATACACTCTCCTTCAAGGTTTGCGACCACATCCAGTCGTCCAATCGACCCGGATCCGACCCAACCCAATTCACCTCGTCTTCAAGCACTCCAGAGTCTGCTTGCCATTCTTCTCATGCGTCAACTAATACGAACACTCAGCACCCATTATCCGCCGTCTATTCTGCTTCCGGATGCGTCACGCCCGTCTGCGCACTGCGTATTAGCGCTCACGTGTACTGACTACCGGCTTCCCGTGTCTGCATAGCACAACTTTCGTTTCTTCCCCCGCCAGGCTTCTTCTCCCTTTTCGTCTACCGCTTTCGCCGAAATTTGATGGAAGAACATGGATAATATGTGGTGGGCAATTGGGCAGAGAGAAGCACCAAAGGAAGAAAAGGCATGGATGTCTTGTTGCACAGCCCAGCCACTGCTGCTGCTCGTTGACATCGATCCGGCCGTCAACTGTGTGCTGGCAACGCTACACACTGACCACAGGCAGATCTCAAGAGCAACCACGGCGGTTACTGGTTCACTCGGATGAGCTCCAGTCAGCATTCCTTCCTCGCAACCAGGCCAATCCCGACCTCGAGGCGGTCACCTACAGATACAGGACGATTCCTCTGGGCCACTTCCCAGCCAGCGGCCCGGGATCAACCAAAACCAATTTGCTGCGTCACAGTATTGCCCTGTTACCTCCAATTGCTCTGAGGCTGAGCAGTTGGCGCGTTTATTACGGGAAGCAATCGTCGTCACCCTGGCCCATCCACTGCCCGTTCTCCTGCGTATTAACAGGGACTTAAAAGATGGACCCGTTCCAGGCGCAGGTATCGCTTCTCGCCAGAAATTAGAGATGCTGGTTCTGACAATGACCCATACTTGGCTGTCAACTGCCCACCGAAGGAGAAATTGGCCAAGAATGTGCCAGCCAGGGGGGAGCACGCAGATGGCCCCCAGAGGGGCAGTTCAAGTCTTGTCTTGATGACTGGCGGAGCACCAGAACTGACGCCTCATTTACGAGCCACCGATGCCATCCCGGGCTCACTGGCTCCGGGTCGCCGTGTGCTCCATATCCCATCTCATTTACACCTCAAATAGCAAGCGACGACACTCCATCGGCCAGGCCCCCCGTGATGGAAGTGGGAGGTCGACGGGTCTCAGGGTTGCATCGTACCCACGGCGCCCGGACGGATCGCGAATCTTTGCGCCTGTGGCACTAGGGCCTGTTAGGCATGCGGGATTGAGATGCGCGCTCGGGCAGGCCTGCTAGTGCTCCTCACCTGAGCCAAGCTTTTTCAGTACCTATGTCGTGTCAAGTTACAGAAAACAACTCGCCAGCCGAGCTCAATTCCTTCGCGCGGGATTCGTAGCAGACCACCACTACAACGGCGCAAGACAGCGGTACATCAATGGCATGGAAGAAGCAAAAAGTCACATACAAACACACATCAACATCAACCGTTCGCGGGCAAGCATGAGGCTGAACACCCATTGAGAGGAGATCCTCGAGGAGGCGATCCCGTCTCGATCGCACCGCTCAACCAAACCGTCCTAGCCACACGGGAATGGCATCTTGAAACAAATCTACAGCCGCTGCGAAGGCACGCAATCATTCACTCGGCGCCCCTTTGATACCTTTGGCAGGGGCAACCTTCTTTGCTCCAGACCTTGGCAGCCTCTTCTGGGATCGCCTCTGCTCACAGATCTGTCCGTGTTCTTCTATTGCGATGCAGGGAAGATAATGCTAGAATGAACTACTCAGCGCTCACCAAGGAACATCGACGTTGTCAACGCTGATTCCAAGCCAACAGAGTCGTTAAACCCAGGCCGGCGAGCATTAGGTAGCCGTCACATCAGTCAGCTAGCCTCACCTTCTAGGCTCCTCCTCGTCAGCACCATTGATCAGTCCAGCCATTTGCATCAAGCAGTTCTATCTCCGAAGGAGACTC